ATCCTATACTGACAGCAATTTCTCTAAAGCAATTATTATTCTTTCTCAAGCAACAATAATATTAATCCAACAAGTAAAATCTACATCTCTGTCAGACTTCTAAACCTGTTGAAAATCATTAAGTGCAAGAAATTCAAAAGAACTGCACAAGCATCATAGATATCTCTATCCTATAAACAACTCATGGTATTTCAATTAAGAGCTTATTCAATTATCACCTCTCAGTCTCAAATCAAATACAAAATCATGTAATAGTTGGCCAAACAATCACAAGCATTAAGAATAAATTGAAATACTTAGCATATATGGATTAAACATCAATTACTTAAAAAGAAGATTGAGAATTCGAACATTCATAATCCGGCTACATCGTAGCCCTAGAAAAAGTAATTAGTTCATCTCTAAACAAAATAAATTCCTAAACAAAGTCTTAATCATTGGAAAAGAAAGAAAAGAACTAGTTTGGAGTTGAATTGAAGCGTCTCCGTCTCCGGATTTGAGCTGTTCTTCTTCTCCGTCCCAATTCTCCTTTTTTTCTCTTGAATACTCTCTCAAAAGCCAACCGTCATTCCATAGTCTAAAAGTCTCCTCTAATTGCCCTAGAATCATCTATTTATATGTTTCCGAGCATTAGGGTCAAAACGGGTAAGTTTTCTCACAATTGGCCTTCAAAACGCGTCTTTTCTCGCGTCATAGCACCGCGGCGCTGAGTTCCTAGCGCTGCGGCGCTACTATGTAAAATCCTGGGCGCTGTGGCGCTGTCATGGGCGCCTACGCGCTGCCCATTCTGCCCCAATGCACTAATTCCGTCAGATTTCAGCGAAATTTGTCCAAAACCTTCCAAATCATAGACTTTCACTTAACATTCAAACAAAGAACAAAAACACACATAAAAACTAACAAAAACCTCGAAAACCAACTAGATATTAAGTGTAAAATGATACTAAATGAGCAAGTAAAACTCACTCATCAATATATAATACATATTTTTTGAAAACATGTATGTATCACAATAGTGATATAATTGAATGGATAAATTAATAAATGAATCACCTTATAGAGCAATAACACCTGCACTAGTTCAAAAAGGTGGTAGGGATGCCAATTTTACCCGCGGGTATCCGCTCCTAATAGGGTGAGTATGGGGATGCTATATGGCGATGGGGGCGGATGTGGGGGTTAAAGTTAACTCTTGAGTCATGAGTGGGGTAGGGGTGGGGGAAGCTCTCTCATCTCTGACCGTGCTCGATTATATGTACTTTTATTTAATACATATTTTATATATGTGTGTGCTATATTTTATAAAAGAATCCTTATAGAATTATTAGATATTAGTGGCTATATTGCTATATTCTATAATAAGTTTAATGAAATTTACTTTGATTATAATAATGTTAATATTTTTCCTTTTAAATTATTATTTCAATAGGTAAATAGATAGGGAATGCGATTTTTTTTCTCGGTGGGGAATCCCCGACCCCACCCCGCTTTAAATTAAGCGGGTATGTATGCAAAAAGAGAGTAAGGTATAAGGATGAGAGAAGCATACCCGTCCCCATCCCGTCCCATCACCATCCCTAAATGGCGGGGCTAGAAAAGTTATCCGATAAAGTGAGAAAAAAATTATAAAGAGAATTTTTTTATTAAACAGTAGCATAATAATTATGTATTTCAATTATCGAATGGGATACGGTTATATTAAAAAATGAATATAATTACAGTAAGATTATATAACTAAAGTTCTAAAGAGAACTTGAAAGATAAAGAATGCGTTTAGAATTCGTTCTAAAATAATAATATTTTTTGTATGAAAATAGAAATGAAAACGTTTTCAATCTCAGGCAGAAATCATTTTTAAAAATGCATTTGTTAGTTTTATCAAGAAATTATTTTCAGTATAAAAAAACTGAAATTCCGTTTGGTTATACATTTTTGAAAACATCTAATAATATTTTAAATAATATATTAAATAAGAAAATGAAAATATTTATTTCTTATATGTAATGAAATAACCCATTAATAGAATAATTATGTATATATATGTATATATATATCTCTCTGCTCGAAAGAGGAAAAAATAAAAATAAGAAATGAAAAACGATTAAAAATTGTTTTTCATTTCTCTCTTATTTATGTGAAACTAAAAAATTATTTTTATTTCTGTTTTTTATCTTTAATTGCTCTAAATGCTATGGCCTCATTTATTTCACCGATTCGAGTTTTCAATTTTAAATTTTTACAGTAAAAAATTCTTAAAAAATGTCACATCTAATTTTTTCTGCTATAGTAAAAAACTCTAAAAAAATGTCATATCTCAGTTCGAATTAAAAACTCGAATCTGCAAAGTAAATGAAACGTATATTCTTCTCATTTTCATTTTTTATTTCTTGAAGAACGTAATAAGTTTTTGGAATTAATTCTAAACACGCTGAAAAAATCGAATACGTGGCTCTGTCGTTGCTTTCTTCCTGCATTTTTCACACAATTTGTCCCTTTTCTCTTCTGAACTTGAACCATAAATAAAAACCGTCATTTATCTGATGAAGTCTTGTTCATTTAGGATATTTCTCAATTTCTCAATTTCTCACAAGTAAAATAGAGTATATTAGTTAAGAAGAAAAAGTTTGAAAAGGGCAAAGAAGATGTCGGACGAAAGTAACTTGTCAAGTACGCACCTTGCAACTTGGCACGTTGCGTTTCGGGTTCAAAGGAGGAAGTTTCCCGATGGGCCCCAGGTTGAACAGCCTTTGCCCATTTTTTTATTATTTTAGAAAATAAACAAATACTTTATAAAATATATGAGTAAATTTTTATACGTCACTTTTATACCTAGTTCATTTTATAAATTTGAGTTTTTAATTTAAATTGATATGTGATCTTTTTTGAGAGATTTTAATTATAACAAAAAAAATTAGATATGATATTTTTTGAAACCTTTTTATTGCAGAAACTTAGAGCCCGTTTAGTTGGATGATTCGTTTTCTGATTTGAATTATAATTCATGGTTCGCTATAGTATTTTCTCTCATAAAAAACACACGTAAATAAAAAATAATATTAATCTTATGATTCTAATCCATGATCCAAACGGGCTCTTAGAATTGAAAACTTGAATCAGTAAAATGAACGAGACATTAGTTAATATCCTTTTTTGTCAAGTAATTATATTGGTTAAAACTTTAAAGGACATTAATTAAGAGTAAGAGTAAAAATCTAGACACATATACTCTAAGAATAAGTTTAATAATTTTTTTTTAAAAATTATTACATTTAGATTTTTACGTCTCACTCTTTAATATGATTATTTAGCTAGAAAATATATTAATTAAAAATAAAAAATAAAAATCTAGACCCATAAATTTTAAAATTTATTTTGTCTTCTTTTCTCATTTTTCAATGATTGCTTACTTCTTCTTCTTTCTTATCTTTTTCTTTTTTGAAAAAAAAAAAAAAAATCAATTGTGTTATTTGGTACTATGGCAGAAATTCAAGGCCTAATTAACTCGTTTTTTCTCCTCTCAAAATGCTCTCTAGATTCAATAATTTTAGAGGCTCACTTTAGAATCCCTTCGCAGCCAATGTATTGTTGGGTGTGGAGGCATAAGTAAAAATTAGGTACAGAAATGTGCCCAAAGCTCAATACTATAGATCCTCACTTTAAAATCCCTTCACGGTGAATGTATTATGCATTGTTGGTTGTGGTGGCATAAATAAAAATCGAGTTTGTCTTTGAGTATAATTAGATCAGATTCTTTACGTTTATTACAATTAATTGAATTGGAAAAAAATTTTAAGTGACGTTTAGTTTATGAATTTAAAATCATAATCCATACTTTTTAAAATTTAAATTTTTTATAAAAAAAATACTATAATAAATTAATAATTATGACGTAAAATTAAGTCAAAACTCTCTAAACAAACGTAACATTAAAGTGAGACTTTAAAGTGTAGAATCTTAAATAGGTGATGGAAATGGACTGCTTCTTTTGTTCACGTAAATTGTTAGGTTCATGTAAAGAGGTTGCTTCCAATGGGCCCACTTGTAAGGTGCTTGGAGCCCACTTAAAGCTGGTTCGTGTCACCTGCCATTTAAGTTCATCTGGCATAAAATTCTGGTTCCCCACCAGTTGCTTCTGAGTTCTCATTGTCGCATACGTATTATCAAAAGTAGTTTTCTTATGGGCCCCCAAAATTGGAAGATTTTATTTTGTCCCAAAGTTTTTGTTTTGTTTATTATCTGGTTCGCTTAACATGAAAATTGAAAAGAAAGATGCCAGAATTAAGATTATTTTCTGCCACATTCATTTTATCGATTCAAAGTTTTAATTTTAAATTTTTATAATTAAAAGTTTTTATAAAATATCACATTTAATTTTTTTATTACAGTTAAAAATTCTTAGAAAATGTCACATTTAACTTTTTCTGTTATAGTTAAAAGCTCTAAAAAAATATCATATCTCAACTCGAATTGAAAACTCGAATCCGCGAAGTGAACTAGACCCATAATTATCTTCCCAATTATAAATTTTATTTTAAAATGTCTCTTAATTTTATAAAACAGCTTAAAACATCTCTTAATATATAGAAAATAAATTAAAGTCCTGTTTATTTTATTAATTTGAGTTTAAAATTTGATTTTTATTGCAATAAAAAGCTCTTAAAAATAATCACATTTAATTTTTTTTTACTACAGTAAAAAACTCACATAAAATCATTCATATCTCAATTGAAATTAAAAATTCGAATTAACGAATTAAACGAGCCTTAAATCACCATATTTCTTTTAACTCTGTGTGTATTTTAACAGAATTGATGACGTGGCGTATTAGACGTTTGGTTCATAAATTAAAATCATGAGATTAAAATTATTTTTGATTTACATATATTTTTTATAAAAAAAATATTATAACAAACTATGAACTATGATTCAAATTATGATACTAATTCTCTTATTAAACGTCTTAATTAAGGTGTTGTTGGTCAGATGGCGTTTCATTTGGAGGCTGCTGATTAAAAAAATCCCCTTAGGACCTCAGTTGCTGAACTCAAACAAGAGTGCTTTGACCCAATTCATCCATCTCGGAGGACCAGAGGAGAGCAACAAGCCAACAACCAATGTCAGATCTACCGGACGAGCTATGGCGGCGAATCCTCGAAATCGGCGTCCAAACCTGTGGTTTTACCTACAAAGACCTCTGCTGCCTCTCTATCTCCTCCCGACGCCTCCACCGCCTCTCCGACGACGACGAACTCTGGTCCGTCCTTCTCTCCTCCAATTTTTGTCTCATCGATCGCTCCGCTTCACCCTCACTCGCCTCCAAGTCGCTCTACAAGTTCAGGTGACTCGCTTTGTTTTCTTCTATGCAGAAGTAAAAAGTTGTTGCGTTTTGTTTTTGCCTGTTCTGAGATAGTTTAGGGTTTAGATTTGAGAGGGAAAAGGAGAAGAAGATTGCTGCTCACCGGAGGGCGGTGCTGAGGAAGGAGAGTCAGATTGCGGAACATTCAAGAAAGATTCGGGAATTCGAGAATAGCTTGGCGGTGGAGAGCGATAAGATGAGGGCAACTCTTGTGGAGTTATCCAATTTACGCAAAATTAGGTAATGATTATTATTATGTTTTAATATTTTGTAAGTTGATTGACCACGGTTGTAATCGTTAATGTTATCTTTCTAGCTTTGCACTCAGTTTGGTTGGAGTTAGAGGGAAAAAAAGGGATAGGAAAGTGGAATGATAGAAATAATAGTGTTTTCTGTATGCCGTTTGCTGTATTTGGACTTAGGAAGGAAAGAACGGAATGATATTGATTTAGGACCTTGCGAGAGAAATGAAGAAGAACGGATGCAGAATTAGGGAGAAATTAGAATCAGCAGAGAGGGACTGCATATTCGATACCTAACATAATCAAGCCCACAAAAAGAGATGGGCAATCCTAATTTGAACTAGGAAGCTTGAGAACCTGATAAAAAACAAAAGACTCATTTTTTTAGGGTTCTATCTTGATAACATAACTTAAATCTCTCATCATCGTAATTATATGGCTTTTATTTTTGTTACTTTAAGGCAAGCTTCGGTGGCTTTGAATGTCTGGCAGCCGGAGGTGGTCCGTGGAAAGATTAAACAGGTAGTGGAACAGAATGCTGTGCCTGTTGAGTCTCGGGTCCACGCCTTGGAGATGGAGCTCAAGCTTTGCAAGCAGCAGATTTCAGGTTTTGAAAAAGCCTATGTAAGTCATGGAAATCATTGGGTTCACTATTTTATAAAGGCACTGTAAAGAATAGTGTGACGGTATTTGTTGGCGTTTCGATGTAGAAGGACGAGAAACGGAGATTTGATGTGGCGAAAGAAGAGTTGAAATCAATGAGATATCATCCTTTACGGCCTAATGAATCAATGAGTAGTGTGAAAGATGTATGTGAGACTAATATCAGAGCAAAGAAGATGAAAAGATGCAGTAAGGGTAAGTGTGAAAACACTGTTTATTTCTATTCTTGATACGGTATAAACTGCCGTACTAAATTCTGACTGCTGAACAGACGCAATTCTGACTGCTGAACCTATGAACTTGCGCATAAACAAACACAACTTCCATACATAGACAAACAATTTGGAGCATCTAGATTTATATCATTCGTAAGTGAATACTTTTGCGCATTACATGAGGTCGTCAACCACCTATTGCATCCACTTTTCCCCTGAAACTAATCACATTTTGTTCCATGTCGTCAAGTAAGTGGTAAATACTCTTTTCTTCATAACTGACCTTTTTGCTCCCTTTGATAAGCCACATATTTACCGACTCTTGTAGATTCACATATGTTATTACTAACTGAGCTTTAGAATCTTTACTAACAATTTTACAAAATAACTAGAGCCTGGTTACAGCTTATCATCTTTGTCCATCAAAAGATCAAGAGAGGTGTCGTGAAATTTGTTTGAATTAGAATTATGCGCCCATAGCTTAAACTGTCAAATTAATCGTTCTTTTTGGAAAAAAAAAAAAATGTCACCGGTCGAGGTTGTAATGTCTAACTATATTTAAATGTTTTGTTTCCCTTGTGTTGGTCCTGTCTATGGGAGCTCGGTTACTAACGAATTTAGTATGGTGATAAGACCTTACTAAGTGATAAATTGAAAGTTTGTTGTAACTTGCAAATCAACGCAACTTGAGCTGGCAGTGAAGTATGAGTTTTTAGAGGGTTGATTGTTGTACATTTGAATTAAACTTCGTTTTAATTTTATGTTATGTCATAGTATTTGTATTTTTCTTCATGCTAATCAAGGATTTTATTTATGGGGTTTCGATTGGCAATGTGTGTATTGATCAAATTGTCTTTAGTTATAGCTGGGACGAGCCTTGCTCTTATGATTTTGCAGTTGGTAATACTAAAGGGGAACATATGCCAGTAGAACTTTGCTTGGATTTTGATGTTAATATTTTGTTCTGTTATGGTAGATTGTGTAATCACTGGCATAGTAAGCTTTCCTTGGGGAGAGTGGCTGCTAGCTAAGATATTTAGAGATTGTTATTATGGAAAAAAATCAATGGCCTTCAATTTTGATCCACTTGTAGAGGTCGTGGCAAAGCTTGAATTTAATTTCTCATAGGTATTGAATTTCCATTGATGTGAAGATACAGTAGGAGAAACATTGATGTGGTCTTGCGTTTTAAGACGCTTTAAGGAATTAAGTTATACAAAGGAAAGAGGCTCTTCAATTTTGGGAACTTTCCCAAAGAAAAGGTTCTTCAACTTTCAGAATATATATATATATATATATGTATGTATGTTTTGTAGATAAACTTTCAGAATATATGCTTATATCTTTCTTTTTTTCCCCTCCAACTTTCAGAATTTATGCTTATATCATGAGGTCATCTTTTTATGCATCAACAAACTTTTACTACTTGATAGTTTCACATCCTATCATCTTTGTTTAACTTGAAACATCTGAATTTTCTTACCATGATGTTCCATAGGAAAAAAGTAGATGTCCTCACGTATCGTCACACTTGGCCGAGGGTGAAGTATTTAGACTTTGTAAGGACGTTTGATCCACTTGGTGTTCCTAACAAATGATGCTGGATCCAATTTTCTCCACTTAGTGAGTATGCGAAAGTCTCAAGAGAAGATGATTATGTCCCACAATCACTTGAAAGTAATTTATTTTTCACTTTATACCACCTACTAGTGCAGATGCATTTTCGGAGCATGAGGAGATGTCTACAGTTGCAGGTCTTCCTTAGACCTTTTCATGAAACCATCGGCACAGTTTTACTCTCCGAGTCTCTATTGATGTCAAAAATTATGAAAATGCTAAACATCTTGGAAAGATTTTAGGGATTTTTGACGTCAGTGATTTGTTATAGTAAGTGATAGTGAATGTAGAAGAATGGTGTTCTATTCCTTTTAATAATGGATGCTAACCAATATGAATTTCGAGATAGTGCATCTTGAAAAATAAAAAAAATAAAAAAAAAATCCTCAAGAGTCACTATAAGATGTAGAGTGATTGCTAGTGTTCGAGTTAGAAAATCTGGATAAAAACTTCAAAATGCACCGATGCATTGGCGGTGATAGGTTATAGGCATTATTGTATCTGAGGAAAAAAGAAAAATTGTGTAGTCTTTCAATTGATATTGGCCTACAACAAAATTCCTCGTAGAGATAGCCTGGTTCGTGTGTATCCTTTTTCTTATTTTGATATTGAATCTTAAGATACTCGTATATGCTACAAAGTTATCAACAGTCTTTCCTCTATTTTTAATGCAGCTTTTGAAAGTCTCACATTGAAAAGAGATGAGAATGTCTTCTTTTAACTATTCTATATAAATGGTTATGTATTTTATTTCTCTATCACAACTTACAAGTTAGAGGGGTTCAAATTCCTTTGAACTTCTATATTCAATAATATGATGGACTTATATTTACCGTCTACAAGGTTAGAGGTTTGAATATATGGATAATAACTTTTTTTTAAATAGAGTAGAAAGTAGTCGGTTAGTTCGGTTTAACTGATCACCTTGGCTGGCAAAATCGAAACCGAACCGCTCATGAATCAGGGCGGTCGGTTAACCGACTGAATTAGTCAGTTTGTTGACGTGGAATCGAATTTTTAATTTTTTTCAGTCGGTTTGGCTGTTCAGTCTTGGTTGGTGGTGGTTTTTCAATTTTTTTAAACACTCCTACTTACTACACCTTGTCCTCCGAAGCCAACTATTGATGCTCTTAATGAGGTTTTCCTAGTGTATCAACGCGGGAAGGACTGACAATATGGCTCGCTGTTATATGATAGTGAGCATGTCCATTGTGCTTCAGGCATAACATGAAGATTACCAAACTGCTTGGTAGATCACAGATAATCTTGCGGACATGTTCGGTGGCCAAGCTGCTGAAAAATGTTAGGAAGCCCTTTGTAACCTTATTAACTGCAGATAGAAGGACGAATCTTCCATCAAGGAACATATGCTGAAGGTGATGGGCTATTTGACTAATGTTCAGACCAAGGAGGCAAACATCGATGCTAAGTCTCAGATAACCATGATAATCGAGACTTTGTTGAAGGAGTATATTTTGTTCAAGGCAACGTTCAATCTAAGCGCTAGACAGAATATAACCCTGACAGAGTTGATGCAAGAACTCTAGAAGTTCGAGCGTATGATCAAGGGGTCAACTACTATAGAGGCCAACTTGGCTGAGACATTTTCCTCCAAACCCACTCCAGGGAATGGAAAGAAGAAGCAGAGAACTAAGAAGGAGAGTTCTTCTATTTCGCCATCCATGGGCAAGAATAAGAAGAAGAACCCGAGCAAGTTTAAGTGCTTTCATTGTAGGAAAGTGGGGCACATGAAGAAGAATTGCAAAGACTACCTAGCCACTAAAGGCAGAGGAGGTGAGTGCGATCTTTTGATTGTTAAGGCATGTCTAGTTGAAGAATCCAGTGACACCTGGGTCATAGATTCTGAAGCAACTAATCTTGTGTGTATTTCTCTGCAGGGGTTCAAGCAAATGAGAAGTTTTCTTAATAAGAGCTTCACGTTGAGGATGAGCGATGAGACTCTATATTGGCTGAAGCAGTGGGAAACGTCCATATTTATTTTGATAGTTATATGACTTTAATTTTGCGAGACTGTTTTTATGATCCTCAGTTTAAGATGACTCTTATTTATGTCGTTTGTTTATTTAAGGATTCTTATTCAGTTTCTTTTAATAATAAAGTTGTGATTCGTAAAAATAAGTCTTTTATCTGTGATGGATGGATGCAAAATAATTTATATTTTATCAAACCTAAGATGGATTCGATGTTGAATACTGAAGTTATTAATAACTCTAAAATGCTTAAAATTTCGCACTCATACTTGGTCACATTGGCCTTAATAGGATACAGAAGTTGGTAAATGATGAACCTTTAAATTTTTTAAAGGTTGAGTCCTTACCACAGTGTGAGTCTTGTTTGGAGGGCAAAATGACCAGAAGACTATTCGGGTCTAAGGGCAACATGGCTGAAGAGGTTTTTGAACTTGTGCATAGAGATGTTTGTGGTCCCATGAACACTAAGGTGCGAGGAGGGTATGAGTATTGCGTCACTTTAATTGACGATTACTCAAGATATGGTTATGTGTATCTGATGCATCACAAAAGTGAAATTTTTGAGAAATTCAGGGAGTTTCATGCTGAAATGAAAAAGCAATTGGATAAACCCATAAAGGCACTTCGATTTGATCGAGGTGGAGAATACCTCTCCGATGAGTTCATTGGGTACTTATTAGAGAATGAGATCTTATCCCATTTGATTACACCAGACACCTCACAACAGAATGGTGTAGCTGGGAGAAGAAATATGACTGTTAGATATGGTACGGTCCATGATGAGTTATTCGACATTGCCTATATCCTTTTAGGATATGCGTTACAAACTGCATGTTATCTTCTAAATAACGTGCCAACAAAGTCAGTTCTTAAAGCTCCTCACGAGTTGTAGACGGGCATGAAGACATCTTTTAACCATATTCGTATATGGGGATATCTTGCACATGTCCTAGACAAAAAAGCGAACAAGTTGGTAGCAAATTAAGAAGTGTGCATTTTTGTGGGTTATCCGAGAGGGATGAAATGAGGTTATTTCTATAACCCTAAGGAAAATAAAGTAGTGGTTTTAATAAATGCAACATTCTTTGAGGAGAGTTACATGAACGATTTTAAGCCTCATAGCAGAGTGGTGCTCGAGGAGATGTTAAGCGATTTAATTGCACTGACATTTCCTTTGGAAACCGAACCAATCAGAGTAGAAAAGGAAGCCTAACAAATATCTTGGGAGATTCAGTGTAGTGGGAGAATTAGGCGTGAACCTGAAAGATTCATGGCTAATGAGGAAATCTTTTTGGCAGAATCTTTGGAACACGACAGGGATCCTTATACTTATAAAGAAGCTATGGAGGATGTTGATGCAAAATTCTGGACT